AGAGAGCTTATTTTAAAAATTTCAAGTTTATAGTATCAGCCTAACACTGAAGGTGGATGTTCTTTGCATGGCATTTCATAGACAGGAACCAACTATTCCAAGCAAAATATTGGTTTTTATGGTTGACTGATACTGAAGTTGAAGAAAAGAGAAAATCTGTTTTAACTATTGTTATATGCAAATTAGACAAAGATTAACACACTTTGGCTTTTATAGAAGATTTGAATATTTAGATATAGAACATGCATGCGCATGTGGACTATTACCCTCTGTTTAAAAAGTGGCCTTTTATATTCACCCATGGCACGTTCAGAGCTTTCCTAAACAGCAGCACAGTGAAATTAGTCACATCAGTTTCACTGACGATCCTTAGAACCCAAAGGACACGTCAAGAGTGACAGAACCACAGCCATTTTACTTTGGTGCTGCCTGGGAAAGCTCTGATCACAACCAACACTGCCTGGAGCATAAGGAAAGAGGATTCCCCTCTCCCTCTCCTCTCCCCCAAAAACCCCACAAACAAACCCAACACCAAAAACATTTCAAAGGCTCAAGTACTGCAGGGAGTGGGGGGGAGGGGCCGAGAGGAGTCGGGGGGAAGTCCCCCACTGGTCCTGTGCTCCCAGGGGCTTCCTTTTGAAATGTACAAGATTATACAATTGAAAGGCTGAGGTGCTGCAGAGAGCACTGGACCAGCAGGAGTCCCTCCCGGCCCCACACTCCGAAAAGGGTTTCGGCCCTTATCGACTAATCAAAAAGTCAATGGAAATCTCATCACCTCTTCAGTTAGTTAATCTAAATATAACATCCCTACTCCAACCTCAGGAGGAGGGGGCGTGGGAGGGAGGGTGAGGCAGCAGCAGTGTCAGACTGGAGTCTTAGCTCAGTGGCATCAAGGCCACAATGCAAGAGACTTTCCCTGGTCCAGCAAATCCCCTCTTTTAGGACCAATCATGTCCCCAGGGTGCCAGACCAGCGAGGTCCAACTTGTAGTAGTGTCTTCACACAGCCAGTAGAATAGATGAAAGGACGGGGAAAGTCATAGCAGACCATCACAAAAACTGCTAGGAGACTCAAATGAGAGACGACAGGGCATGAAGTCAGGTTACCTGACTTGTCGAGAGGAAAATACAAACAATGAGAGCACAGTACAGAAAACAGAAAAATCAATATCCTACTACTTCCCCTAAATCTAGGTTTAACTACTGTAGTTGTCCATGGAGCGCTGCCTATCAATCTAGTTGGTTACCATCCCCACCCTCAGTCTTCCATATCAGCATCTGACTAATACACAGCCTTGGTGGCAGTATCATCTTCCACTAAATTTAGGTCTATTAAAACGGAAAAGCTTGAACACCCATGTACTGCACCCTCAACCTTTACTCTCAAAGTTAAGATCTTTTTCCACATCATTTTAAACATAAGGGCATTAATAACACTGTCAAAGATAGCAGAAGAGATACTATTCAGCATGAAACAGACAGCACTTTAGTTATGCATTAGGGTGGCGGAACCAAAAACACCAGGGAGGAATAAAATAGCAAAGTCTTTTCTCACTCTCTTTCAAAGCAGCCAGGATCATCTGGAGACAAAACTCGTGTCTCAGCAGCTGGCCAAGTGGAACTTCATAGTTTCAGATGCCCATTGGTCAAAGGCTAATGTGCAAGTTCAAGCAGCAGGAACTGATGGCAGCAATCATTCAAAAAGCACTTCACTGATGCCTTAATGATAAAGATCTATCACAACTGGTATTTTAAAAATTCAACGGTAAGCAGTATCAATCTAAAGCACAATCTAGTTCATATATTTCCACCATGCTGGCAAATTGCTTCAAATAAATGTAAGACACTCCAAACAATGAAACATTAACTATTAGATCAAGTCTGTGTAATTTCTGAACATTCAAATTGTTATAAGAAGAGCTTATTCATAGTTCTTATTTGATTAGTCATACTACACTTGAGCCAACAAAATGCAAGCTTTTTCCTCGTGCTTTTGACTATGCTCATACAAGCAACAGTAAAAATGGGACTGTAATGCTGATGTAGATTTATGCTCTCAGTGGTCTCCCACACCACTTTTACTTATTAAGTCATTTCTTTTTCTTACTGCAAGCTCTGCAAAGCTCTACATGGGATCTTAAAGCACAGAGTGTTCTTACCACTTAAAAGAAGGTAAAAGCCATCCGGAAATTGGAACTTGGTTGACAACACAACAGCCAGAAAAAAAAAAATCCAGCTCACTTCCTGCTAGCTATATTGACTCTAACGTTAAGAGGAGGAAAAAAACCAAACAGTACAAGTTGACCTCCCTCATCTGGCATCATCAGGACCTGACCAGTCCCAGAACAAGGGGATTGTCCAGATAAGGGGAGGTCCTTTCCAACATGGTCCATCCTGCTCTCCTGCTCCTAAGCTAGGGCTCTAGGCCCACCCACTGCTGCCTATCCCCGAACTCCGCAGCCAGGGCCAGAGCTGCCAGCCCTTTGCTACTGTGCAGCTGCAGGTGTCGGAACTCCCTGATGCGCATCCACTTCTCCCTCCTGACATGGGGCTCCCAGCTGAGTTGCTGGCCTCTTCAGGCTATGGGGCAGCAGCAGCAGAACTCCCTATACCTGGGCTCTGTGGTCCAGGAACATCTGTGGTCCAGCTGCCAGACCAGAGAGTCCTGGTTAAGGGAGATACGATCTGTAACTTGTCAGCAAAAAACTCAATACACAGATTTAAAATTTGTATTAAAATTTTTTACTATAATGTACAAATGCCCTAGTCCTTTCTACATCTTTTTTCAAACCCACAAGTAATTCCAGAGAACTCAGCTATTAATTGTAGAGGAAGTTACTTACGTACTGGATGACTAAGTTTTTATATGGCAACTTCTATATGCATGATTTACTGCTGCCAAAGCAACATACACCAATACTATATAAGTTTTATTTTGAAACTTAAAAAAGGCCTTAAAAGCAATATACACCTTATTTCAAACTTGCACCCAATAAAATTTTTTCATGAGTGCTCATATAAAAACAGAACATATGTAACCATGCATACTACATACCTGAAGTTCCATTGCTTTAACACCACTGACACAACAAGTTCTACATTAGAATACAAGTTTGATAGAACCAGATTAGATATCCTTTAGATATCTATTGGAAATGGAAGTGAAAACCTTATGGGGCTCTAGAATCAGAACTGAAAGGAACCTCAAGAGGTCATCAATCCTCGCACTCGTGACTGAACCAAGCAGTATCTAGACCACGGATGGGCAATAATTTTTGAAGGGGGCCACTTCACAAATATCATAAGTGGTAGCAGGCCAACCCAGAAGGAACAGGGCTTCATTTGGAAGGTGTGTGGCCGAGAGCTACCCTATCTTGGAACAGAAGGGAGACTGCTGGGGCTAGTCTCCTCCCAGAGTTGTCTGAGGTGGAGGTTTAGAATTCACATAACAGGACTGGTTAAAATGGCTCATGCCTCCCAAGGAACTCCCAGGAAACGGGCTAGCTTGGGGCCAGGAACTGCGAGCCCTTTCAATTGCTTCTATTTAATTGTCCTTTCAATTGCTTATCGATGAGTTGACAAGGACACCTCCGCCTTTGAACTGTGGAAACCCCACAAGGAGCATGGGGGCCAGTGGAGGACTGGCTTCGCGCTCCCTGCAGCTCCTCAGCCTTTGAAATGTACCACAGACCCAGTGGTGCTCTGGTACATTTCAAAAGGTAGCTCCACAGGAAGCATGGGACCAGGAGGGGGAGGGAGAGAACTCCTCCCTCAGGCCTCTCGCTCCCTGCAGTGCCTCAGATTTTGAAATGTACAAGAGCCCCACTGGGTCTGTGGTGCATTTCAAAGGCTGAGGAGCTGCAGGGAGCGCGAAGCCAGTCCTCCACTGGCCCCCAAGCAAAATCTCAGCGGAACCAGCATGAGTGGAGACAGTTGCTGATAGAGGCAGCAAGGGGCCGGGGAGAGCAGCTAGTCACATCACTAGTTGACTAGTCGAGTTATGCTTAACAGATATTCAATTACATCCCTTGCAGATACCTCTACCTTAAATATTATTTTCATACACTTTCTGTATTACTGCTATTTTAGAAATCAGCATACGAGGAGCAACAATGTGGCCATGGACAGATCCCACAATACTTTAATTGGTACAGAAAGTTCAAATATCACCTTATTTGGTAATTCTTCTGGTCCCTTATTTTCTTTTGTAGCCCTTTCAAATAAATTTAGTTTCAAACCACCACGCAAAAACTGAACAGAAACTCCAAGTTTATATTATGTTTTAATTTTTGCTATTGTAATGCTTTAAGAAAAATGAGATATGTGCTCATTAAACACAATTTTAACTTGTGTTACAGCTACATAGTGCACTAGAATGTCCAATAAATAAACTATTACATTTAGAGATAAGTTTGAAGTATTATCTACTACAGAGCATAGTGATAGTGCATTATAAACACCTGCACATTAGTGCCTGGAAAAATATACTGATAGTAGTGGAGATTAATCCTATACTCATATTACAGGTACAGGAGTCAGTAGAAGTAAAAGCTTCCCTACTTAATGGGTAGGGAAACAACTATTCTTCTAACACTAGCTATCATGGTAAAGCAAATAAGATAATTTAGGTCAGCTAAGGTGGACACATGAGCATTGAGATAACTGAATCTTTCCACTTCTCAGCCACTGACCCACCCAAACAGCCATTATGTAGCAAGTAGTAAGAGTCTAACCTTATTTGAATTTTGACATGAGCTAGGAGGGGAATTATTTAATTAAAGTAACATGAATCTTCTAGTCTCCCACGGGCTTCAATTTTTGTCCTCAGCCTTTTTATATTCCTTGTAATATTATGCACTCTTATTTTTAGTGTCCCCCATTCCAGTTCCCTTTCATTTTATTAGTATCTGGTCCCTTTTACTTCAACCTTTACTCTTATTTTCTTTCAATTTAAACTTTGCTCTGCACCTTTAAATCCACAAAGAATAAGGGTTTTACCTTGTTTCAGGAGCCAGGGAATCCCACAGAAGATTACATCTGTACCTGAGTTGCTCCTTTGTACAAAACACTTAGTGGTATCAGCAGAGCAGAATCTTGTCACTGTCATAATGCTCCTGCTGGCACCAGTGGAAAAGGTGTGTGTGCAGAAAGAGCATAGGCATGTTACTCTGCTGAGATTGAAGGTGTTCTGTGAGGGATAAGGAAATAGGATAAAAAGGAGAGGCAGACTCTTGCTTCTTTTCTGCTTTCTTCCCTCCATTATACTGGGTCTACATCTTAAGCTCTCAGCAGCAGAAAGTGGCAACTGCATTTGCTAACTGTTAGTGTTGCAGCAAGCTTCCTAGTAAAGAACCATGTACAGAAACGTGATCTGAGATATTCGGGGCAAAAAGTACAGACCCAGGATGAGCATAGCAAACACAAAAAGAAGAGGACTAGGAGAATACAAGTAAAAGGACTGCAGTCAAACAGCAAGGAATACTGATATAAAACCATGTTCAGTCTTCATTCCCTTTGTCAACAGGAACTATTTTCAATCATTGTATATATAAACTTTGAAGACAAAGAACAGACTATATAATTTTGAAAGTTTATATAGTTTCAAAGTTTAAAAATCAGGATCAATCTAACATTAAAAGTTAGTGTACAAAATCATGTAAAAGACCAATATCTCTCTCAAGAAATGAATAATGTACCAGTAATCAAGTGTTTGAAGAATAAGGGTAATTGTTTTTATTAGTATCACCTCTGTTTTTCAAAACTGGATGCTTAAAGTTGGACTCAAATCCATACTGAGGCCAGTCTACACTATAAGCTTCTGTTGGAATACTTGTGTCAGTCAGGGGTGGGAAGAGGTGTCATTCTTGACTGACACAGCTGTGCCAGCATGTCTCTCTCCTAAATGTGGTTTTACTATACCAGTACAAAGCACATATCAGTCAGTATAGCTGCATCAACAGAAACACTTTACCCGTATAATATTCTAAAGCAGGAGAGTGCTCCTTGTGTAGACATGGACTAAGTTACATCAAGAGGTCCAATTTAAACTTAAGACTTCTAACACAGAGTTTTGGTTTTCTTAAGTAAAATTATAGCCTCCTCTGATATTTTCTGCACTTAAATTAAACCTAAAGCTTTGATCCTTGCAGTGTCTTTTGAATCTAGAATATCTAAAGGAAACAAATACCGAATGGAAGAGTTAAGAATCAAAGCAAGAACTTCAGCTTCTGTGTTCATTCACAGACTGTGCTTATCAGAAAACGTGCTTATCAAAAAGAAGAGTGCCCAAAAGCAGCACTACCAAGAGCAATTCCTTTATTTTGCATCCAATGACTGACATTTATCAGGACGCCTTGTCAAAATTGCCACTGATCTAATTTTTCTTTAAACTGTGCAACCTTTTAAAGAACGGTTTCAAAGGAAGTAGATATATTAAAAACTGAATTTAGTTTGATTTTATCTTTTCTCAGAAAAAAATAAAATACAAAGTTTGAAAAGCCTCATTTTTCTGGGCTACAATTATACTGTTCAGTATGCATCAAAAAATCAAAGCATGTCATGATTGCTAAAAGGGAGTTTTTCAGCACATAGCAAGTGACAATGTGAAATGTCTATTACACAGTATTTACTAAGAAGTTTTGTTTTTCAGTTCTGTCAAACAGTAAGTTGGGTCTAAGTTAAACTTTGAAAGAACCTGAAATTAGGGAAGAAAAATGTTCTAGGCCACAAGCCTCTTTAGATTTATATACAAAATATTTACCATTCTAGCCTATGAACTTGCAATGGGGTATGCACGAGTAGAGCCCTGCTTTTGCATGGAATCCACTAACTACTGCCCATCATGAGCTAGTGCTGGTATCTAATTTCAAAGCTAGGTATTAGTCACTTTGATTTCTCTTGTTGCAGCTGCTGGAAATGAAAATATACTACTAGCATTTGGAGTACTAAGCAGATGTGCGGCTATGAGAATTTTAGATTGTAAAAGGCACTGAAAAAAAGTTAAAAAGGCAAGAGAGATTAGGAGCTGCAGATGCCTATAACTTTCTTGATCTATCTTCATGTGGGTCTATTTTAAACTTTAGTGAGGGATTGGGATACGAGTGATCAACTTAATACTTGTGAAAAAAGTTGGTTTGAAAGCATTGGAGACGTAAATCCTATTTATCCACAGGGCAAAAACAGAACAGGCATTATAATGCAAGCTATCCTCACTCCACTTTGGCTATGTTCAGGTGCTGTGCTACAATCTCTCTGCCTGTTTAGCTAAGGGAAGGAAAAAATTCTTAAGATGATTCTTGTAATGTGGACATTAGTCCACTAAGGATTCAGAAACCATTGAAAAGTTTACACTTGCTACTTAAGAGTCATAACTTAGCTAGTATTACTTGGAAAAGTTTCCTACCAATGACCTACTGGTAAAAATGCTAGTATTCCACTTCACATACTGTATTGAGTCACACCATCTTTACTTTTATTGTCTTCACTTTAACTGGTGAGATGAAATTAACCTCTCGTGAATCCATACAAAAAACCAAAAAAAAAAAACCAAAAGAGCACCTAGTGTTGTGATCAAGAATACACACTAAGATCTTTGTGTATGCTGCTTTACAAACACTGTGACCATCAAAATGCTGGTGTACATAAAAGGCTTTCCACAGTATATAGAACACATTTTTGTATTACAAGGGGCACGGATGGCAGAAAAGAATACTGCATACCTGAGTTAGTCTTTAAAGTGCTACATTGTCCTGCATTTTGCTTCAACTACCCCAGACTAACACGGCTACATTTCTATCACTGATCTCCCTCAGTTATTCAGTTTCTACAATTTTACGAAAATAAAGAGGGCCACATCTTACATTTCTTTTATACAACATGGATTTTTCTAGCTTTTTCTTTTAAATCTCCAGAAAGAATCGTTTTGATTCTGTACCACCTTATACTATGAAAAGGCGGTGACTCCTTAATTTGCATAACTAGTGCAATCCATGAATATTTAAGTGGGATATATTAATTTAAACCTCAACATTTTCCTACCTAATCTTGTGGGATACAGACAGGTCTTTGAGCCAGGATAGCAATTTCTAAGGTCTATCTAGTCCATTATCCTGTCTGACAGTGGCAAGTACCAGATACTTGAGAGGAAATACAAGAACTTCACAGTATGGAGATATGGGATAATCTGCACTCTGCTGAGCTCTAGCTGTTATTCTCTATGGCCCTATCCCTTCAAAAAATATTTTACAGTTTTAGGTATTTGTTTATATTGCTGTATTTTGAAATAAAGAACTGAGAGAGCTATGAGAATAGGAAGTTAGATTTTTTTCATGAATGTTTTGTAAGCTATAGGAGCAATCCATGAAGATCAACAAGCCATGAAGCTATAAAAAGACACGCAATTTTTTCCTGCCTATAAATGCTATAGGGTCTTTGGGTAAGAGGCACCATTTAAACACAACATGGTTTTATTATTACCTTT